ACATCGTCTGTCATGGTGGGGAAGATGTGGCAGTGGCAGGGAAGGCATGGTGGCAGGACAGAGAGAAGCCAGTGGATCACACTGCAGTCACAGTTAGGAAGTGAAGGGTGGACAGGAAGTGGGGCGGAACTATGAAGACCTGCTTCTAGGTACCAACTTCCTCCAGGAAGGCTGCACTTCCTGAAAGTTCCTCAGCCTTCCCAAACAGTGCCACTAGGAGAGGACTGAGTGTTCAAGCACATCAGACATTTCATAGTCAAAGCACAAAAGGGACTCGTTCTCCTGGCACAGTCTGCTTCGGCATATCAGCCAGTTGCCATGCTTCCCAAGCACAGGAACCAGCACCTTGCTACAGTTGTTAACGTGAGGCTTACACTAGTTCCCACGATATAGGCCTTAGTGTTTAGCCTTAGCTGCACAATCAGAGCACACAGCACTGAATGCTGGACTTACTTATCCTGCCATCTCTCATCCATTGTATGACTAGATTTCAGCTGCCCAATTTCCCAGGCCCTTGGAACTATACTTCCTACATTCTTCCTTGCATATGTAAAAGCATCTACCACCTGTGATTAAATAATTGAATTTGAATTTGCCTAGATTTTAAGTTGTAGGCCAATATTTTTCCCTGAGGATTGGTTAGCTATTGTTCCACTGCCTTCTATCACAGGGGGAAATGTAACTAAGTCTAATATGGGAATAAAGTTTTTTCCAAAGGTCATGAGGTTTTGCCTAGATGCCTACAGGTCTGATTTTTTTCTATCTTTAAATTCCATTAGCATCAAATGTATTCAGAGCTGAGCAGAGTACTGACTTCTCCTGAATAGCGTGCTCTTTCAATCTCTAAATCCAACTTTGATTTTACTTAAGTAAAATGCCCTCGAGTTATGATTCTGAAAGCCTTTTACATTCCGTCTGCTGTGTTCTTCCCAGAGACACCGCATTATTCGTGTTCTGAACTTTCATTGGGATCCCATTCTTGTCATTCTCTCTTTTTTATAATTTACTTTCTTCCATTTCATTTTCAATTTTGTTCTTTGTGCACCTTAAAGCATTTAGAGCTGTCTTTTATTTTCTTTCTTGCTTTCTAGAAATGTAATATCCATTTCTGTGCTTCTTCTAAGCTCTACCAATGGCACGGCCTGTCTTCTCCTTCTCTCCCTCCTCCACATTTCCTACCTCCTCCTCCCCCTTCCTCCTTCCTCTTCCCCGTTCCTCCTCCTCCTTCCTCCCTCCTCCTCCCTTCTCCTCCCCCTCCTTTCCTCTTCCTCCTCTCTAATTCAGTTTCTTTATTAGCTTTAATTCAAAATTATTACAGAGTGTAGAGTTCTGGTCTTGTAAAAGCTGCTAACTTATTATAGACTGTTAAAAAATAGAAGTTAGTCAGTCATCCTTAAAGTACTGATATAATTAGTTACAGGAATAAGCCTTATTTAATTCCCTGTATATGTTTCCAAAGTCAAACTTAAAACTAATAATGAGAAACAAAGTTTGTCTAATCAGACATACCTAGGTAGCCTTCATACTTCAGAGATCTGCAAAATATGGCAATTTAAAATAATGATTTAAAAGCTTATTATATTAGACAGAGACTCTTGAGAACCTAACAGTAACCAAGGTCTCCGAAAAAGATTATGAGACACCATGATGTCTCTACCTGGATTGTGATGATGCTGACCACTGGGCGAGATGCCCCAGGGCAACACCTGCTGCCAGGACCCGGTCCAGACTGTGGACATCAGCAGGACCTTGGAGAATTGATTCTACCACTTTTGCCTAGACAAAATAAGGTTAGTCTTTTCCATGTCGCTCTTCCACAAAAAAAGAAAAAATTTACCTTATGGGCCTGGCTTAGACAGTAAGACTGCTGTTCTGGATATTTCTGCCTCCAATGCTATGGAGACCTGGGTATGACTCACTGTATGTATATGGACTCTGGTCCCTGTCATTTTTAATAGATTCAAAAACTATTTGGTCTGTACTCAGATATACTTTATTTATTCTTCAGAGATCTCTAAAAGATTAATGGCTAGGGCAGTTATAATGTCAGTTTAATAGCAAAAGGTATCCAGATTCTTCCACAAAGCTACAGCCAACTTGTTAGCTAGGACTCAATGGTATGAGTCTATTCCTTCTGTTTACAGACACCTGTTATCTGCTCTTTGTCTAAAGTTTAGCTTCTGTTCCTAGTTTAAACTTATCTCAGTTAGATTCCACTTGGCTGGCAGACGCATCTAAGCATCAGTTGCTGACTACAACCTGCTCTGAATGGTGGCGAGCCCTGGACTTCCTGAAAGCTGATGTGGACCAGTCCAGCTGATATGAATGCTCCCTGTCCCTTCAATGGAATTTGATGAATGCCCCACTGCCTAAATTTCCACCCTACCTTTGGCTAGACTTTCAACCTGCTTGGGCCCAGACAAAAACGCCCCAATGTTAGCTTCAAGTAGTTGTGGAAAGAAACACGTCGTCCCATGCTCCCTGCCCAAAATAAGTTGAAAGGCTGTGACAAGGGGGAACTCCCTGGCATGGGGGACAAGATAACTACCTATAGTGCCTGTTGATATCTAGAAAAATGGGCCCAGAGTTGTCAATTAATGGATCTATTAATTTAAGTAGTTCCATACCTCCTTAAAACCAGGGGCAAGCAAGACCCAAGATTGGGTCCTGTCATCGGTGCTTGTGAAGGGTAAATGTAGGAGCCAGCCCTGATAAGCTAAATATGAACAGATGAATCAAAGCAGGCTTTTTACTTCCAACCATTATCACCTGCTAGAGTAGGACTCAGCCGTGGTTAGGTTAGTGGAGGTCCGAGTCTCAGTAGTTTACCCTGAAGCAATACCTGGTTGCAGGAAGAACCACAAACTGAGATTATCTGAGCACCACCCAGGAACAGACCATCCAAAGGAAATGCCTAAAGTTCCAACCACTGTAGATAAGATCGCCTGCCAGTGCACACTCACCAGGACACCCCTAGACAAATGTCAGCCAATCAGGGGTCCTAAACCTCAGAAACCCCTCACCCCCACCTTTACTACTATAAAAACCCAACTCTAACTGAGCTCAAAGCTCTCTGTTTATTTTAATACAATGGACATGCAGAAAGACTGAGTTTGCAAACTTGCATAAAATAAAGGCTCTTTGCTTACATACGGGACTTGGTCTCCTCGTTGGCTTTTGGGGGACTTTGTGGATTTGGGCATAGCAGTTTATGTGTACCTGTGTGTGCCTGCATGTGGAGTATAGGATACCATCAAGTGTTGTTTCTACTTTTTTTTTTTTTTTTTCTGACACAGGATTTCTCACTGGTCCAGGCTAAGCAGGCTGGCTGGTCAGTGGACCCTGGGATCCCCGTCTGCCTCCCGGTGCTGACATTACAAGTGCGCACGCAGCCCTGGCTGTTCTGTGGTGCGCGCGCAGCCCTGGCTGTTCTGTGTGAGTCCTGCAGATCGAACTCCAGCTTTCGTTCTTTCGAGAGAACTTTCCTGAGCAAGCATTTTCCCCTTCCTCAGTTTTAATGTTTTAGAGCAATGACTACAGAACTCTAAGCTCCATTTGGGAGCTTAAAAGCCCAGAATTTAGTCATTTCTTCCTGAGTTTGAAATAATTTCTCCCTGAGACTTTTTGACAGGGGATCTGTGTTAGGTAGGGCTGGAGAGGGGACTTCATCAAACACCTTAAATAAAGCTTTCCCCTTTTGTTTTGCCACTTGTTTAGCTAGCTTTTTTTTTTAAATAAGGAGTTAGTCTGTTTCAAGTGCATTTATATAGCTTTTCAGGCAGAATTTCACTCACTGTCCCTCTTTGTTGCCCTTTAAATAAGTTTTATGCTTAATTCATACATATTTATATTTCTATATGATCGTTCAGAACTAAAATGTCAGGTTTCACATATCATGTCCCTACACATTCTAAACAATCTATGCAAAGTTTACAATGCTCATTACAATTCCTAACCCCAGATTTTCATCCTTTGAGGAAAACAACCTTAAAGCAAAAAGACAACACCTTCTCTAAGTTCGGTATAGTAAAATACTTCTCTCTGAGATATTAAAATCGCTCTTACATGCTAGACAATTCTTAATCTTTGATGTGAGTTCTCAGCAAAGATATTAAGTTGCTGCTGGGAGTTCAGACATTTAACTTTGAAGAGTTGCTTAGATAGATGATAACCATTATTTTCAATGTATTTTTATTGTGTTTTGCTTTTTGATTGATTTCTCCCAAACTGTCCAAAGGGCTGCACCAAACCCAAACGCTGGCCACAAATCACAAAAGTGTGCCAGGCCAGAGCCTCCATATTTCTCCATTTTGGAGCACAGAGTCTCCGAAGTGAGTCGAGGCACTTTCTTTTTTTTCTTCTTCTTTTTTTTAGAGATTTATCTTTATTTTTTTTTAAATTTAAATTTATTTATTTATTAAGGATTTCTGCCTCGTCCCCGCAACCGCTTCCCATTCCCCCCCCCCCCCCCCCAGCAGTAAAAAACAAGGACTTCTTGAATTTGGCACTTTCTTCTCTGCGTGGGCTGCTCTGGGTTGGTTTGTACCTACAGCCCAGCTAAGCTGGTTCAAACCAGTCTGCCTAGAAGCGGAGGGGACTTGCTCTGCTCCTTGGCTTGTTCCCTGCACCCTCTGAGGGGCGTGGCATTGCCGTTACTGCAGTCTGTGCACACAGACAGGAGAGGGGTCTGCCCTGCGCTGGGTAAATAAGACGGGGGCGTGTCAGGGTTGCGGGGTCTGGGCTTGGCCTTTCCTGCTAATTTAGCTGTGTGATGCTGGGCAATCATTGCACACCTGAGTGCCGTCTTCTATTAGATACACAGAGTTAACGGGGCTCCAAGGTCCGCGTCCACTTTAAAGGGAAACACATCTGAAGGAAAGAGCCTTATTTATGAAAACGGTCCCTCTTGGGGTGAAGATGCGAAGGCAGCCGCTCTGCTCACAGTTTAATTTCTTATAAACTTATCTTCCTTCCGCCCATGGACCGCAGAGGTTACTTACTGGCGATTCAATGTCTTCTAGAAGTAAAACCGAACAGCGTTCACATTTCAACAGGGTTTGGGCCCGGTGCATTATTTTCTTGACGATCTTCTCCAGGTCAGTCTGTTCTTCGAAGAGGTCGTTGACTACCTCTAGCAAAGCCTGAAGACAAGAGAGGCCCGTATTTAGGAGGTGTAAGGCTGAAAAGCATCCAATCGTGCCACAAGGACATGTGCTCAACTATGTTCATAGCAGCTTTGTTTGTCATAGCCAGAACCTGGAAACAACCTATATGCCCCTCAACCAAAGAATGGATAAGGAAAGTGTGGTACATTTACACAACGGAGCACTTCACAGCAGGGAAAATAATGACATCTTGAATTTGCAGGAAAATGGATGGAGCTAGAAAACATTATTTTGAGTGAGGTAACCCAGACACAGAAAGACAATTATCACATGGACTCACTCATAGGTGGTTTTTAAACATAAAGCAAAGAAACCCAGTCTACAAACCACAATCCCAGAGAACTTAACAATGCGGACTCTAAGAGAGACTTACATAGATCTAATCTACATGGGAAGTAGAAAAAGACAAGGTCTCCTTAGTAAATTGGGAGCATGGGGACCTTGAGGGAGAGTTGAAGTAGGGAGGGGAGAGGCAGGGAGGGGAGCAGAGAAACATGTAGAGTTCAACAACAGCAACAAAAAAGACTGAAAAGCATCGACTTTGCCTTCCCACAAAACTCCAGGTAGTATTTTCTCTGAGAACAGATATTTCATGTGGCTACTTTTGAAAACATTTCTGGCTGTTCTTGCATAACTCAGTGATTCACTTTATAACGTACTCTCTTAAATTGAAAAATAGAGCCAGAGAATGGAGGTGATCAGTGTTACAGGCCCCATGTAGCCACTAATGCAGGTGCTTTACCCACCATAGCGGTCCTTCAATATGACTGAATACAAAAATCGACATTTTATAAATAACAAGTATGTGGACCTTGCCAGAGCAGATTTGTTTCAGAAAACTGCCAAACAGCCTTTTTTTCACTGCTAAGAAAAAAAAAAATAGCTTCATGGCTCAACTTGATACCTATTCTCACTAACCCATATCTCTCCCAGAATTCTGAAAGAATAATGGAGGTAAATGTTAATTAAGGCTCCAAGCATTCAAATATATATTCTCACACTACTCTCTCCATTCTAGAGGAGGAAATAGTGCCTCACTCCCAACAGTTCAGTAGAACACTGAGATATTACTTCATATCTCAGCAAAGGAACTCTCATTAAAATTGCTATCAAGATGGCAGACCAAAAGGTAAATAAGTTAAAGGAGAAAATTTAAACTACATATTGAACACTGTGTACTCATTGCAAAATTAAGTTGTAGTGATCTACTACTTTCTCTAGCCAAGGGAGTTTGGAATTTATGCATCAAAGTAATATTTGTTTGGAATTTTAATGATGATTTTTTTTTTGGTTCGGAATTTGCAGAATAACAGGCTATTTAGAGGTGGCAGAAATTAAGCTTCTTTTAGAGCCATCAGGGAATTACACGGCCATGAAACTGGCTTGTGCTTTAATAAATAACGTTAAACAGGATGTTTGTCTGTCTGTCTGACCTTTCACAAAGGGACTCCATGAATCCACAGGTTCAAATTTATTCATTGGGGTGTTGATTGCCAGCCCAGGGGCACGACTAATTTTGAAACTTGGGAATTAATATTATTTGTCCTGAAATAATTTGAAACAAAATGTCTTCTCTGTCTCTCTTGAGGTTAAAACACACACAGACACACACACACACAGACACACACACACACACACACAGACACACACACACAGACACACACACAGACACACACACAGACACACACACAGACACACACACAGACACACAGACACACACACACAGACACACACACAGACACACACACACAGACACACACACAGACACACACACAGACACACACACACAGACACACACACACAGACACACATACAGACACACATACAGACACACACAGACACACACACACAGACACACACACACACACAGACACACACAGACACACACACACACAATTGAATGAGCTAAGTGATCTGCGAAGTGGCACCACTGAAAGGACCGAGGTTCCTGGGGGAGTGTTCTGAAGAAAGACCCTGCCTTGCCTGTGAATAAGACCAAAGCAAAGAGAAACACTAAGAAGCAAATCCTACGCTAACTGAAGCCAGTCTCCTTGGCATTAGACAGCAAATCTGCTGTGAGAGGTCACGGTGGGGTAATTTCATGTTCAAAGACATTTAATGGGGGACAATTCTTACCCAGGGAAGGACACACAATTGGTTATCTAATCCCAAATAGCCCTGAAAACAGACATACAAGTAACATTATGCAGACCGAGCAGGCTGTGTTTATGTATTTAGGAATGCGTTTGTGTGTGTGGTATGTATGTATGTATGTATGTATGTATAAACATATATGCATGCTACTAGAATTAGTGAAAAATAGAGGCCATGAATTTGAAAGAGAGCAAACAGGGGTGTATGGGAGAGTTAGGAGGGAGGAAATAGGAGGGGAAGATGATCTAATTACAATCTCAAAAAATAAGAGAAATAATTTCTTCAACGAGAGACAATTGTCTGAGAAATCACAAGCGAGTCCCCTGCTATTAAGGGGGAAACATCATTGCCTTGATCACTCAGCTCATCTTTTCCGATGGATGATATTAACTGAACAATTATTTAACTTTTCAATTTGTTATGATTGCACAGAGAGCCTCTGGGACCTCTGCGCACGAACATTTCTCTCAGAGGAGGAACCAATGCCCCTGGAGTCTTACACTGATAAGTCGCATGACCGTAATTTTATTCCTTCTAATTAAAAATGGCTGCTTTGCTAACGAATGGTAAAAGTTTTACAAATCGCCAAAGGCTAGCTCCAGAAGAGGCGGAAGAGAGAGGAAGCCTAGGTTGACCAAACAGCTGGACCGGCTGTCTAAACAGTTCCCAGGTGGGATGTGCCCTGCCTCCTAACTGTCTCTTCTGTATAGGAAATAGCTGGGAACTCCTCCTTCCTGTTGGTCTACACCTGAGCTGACTCTTGGCTCTTCCTCTCTCCTGGCCACACATCCTTCCTCTCTCGATTCCTTAGCAAGTCTCCTGACTTTGTATGATCCCATCCCTAATATCATACTTCCTCAAATTTAGGTCCTTAATTCAAGTATTTGCTGCCCATGAGCTTGTATATAAGCCCCAAGTCCCTTTCTCCGTCCCCCACATCAGCAAGCCCTGCACCCATCACCACTGATTTGCAGGGAGTCTCACTTCTGACTGACCTAATGCCAGCTACCTTTTCTCTTCAGTAGAGTCTTCTAACTGCTCTCCCTCCTTCAAATTCCTTCTCATTAGTCCATTCTTCTCAGCCCTTCACTGTTTTCAAGGAAGCCAAGTTGTTTTTCTTTTTTAAATGAATTGGAATCAGCTCAAAATCTCCTACTGGCTTTCCACCACACTTAAAGTCAACAGTGCCTGAAATGCCCATAGGGTCTTTCTACCCCCGGGCCCTGTTCACCTCCTTATCCTCATTTGCTTGCTGTTCATCCCCTCCTTCTCTCTCTCTCTATTCTCCTGATTCACAACACAGGACCACTGCACCTGATGTGTCCGTGGTCTGTGCACTCTGCCCAGGTCTTCACGTGGTCTCTCGTTTCATTCCACTTCGGCTGTCTCCTTACAGACACCTTTTCTCACCCTCAAATATAAACGGACTGTTCAATCTACCCCATCCACAGCAAGGTCTAGCCCTTTCTTCCACTTTATGTTTCTATCTGGCACTGTGTAGTTTTTGTCTTTATTTTTTCTATTATCTATTGTTCCCACTAGAATAATAAGTTATGCCAGGACATAACAGGACAGGGTCTCTTGAGAACCACACAATACACAGTCGTTGAAGGAGTAAGTGAACTGTGCCATACACAGGCGTGGAAGGACTGTCTCAGTCTGACTGGAAGGTTCCCTTAAGAAATTCATAGTGCAGCTGTAGAGGAGGGTTATCATCAAATATTATAATAATGTGATGGGTACCCACACTAGAGCAAGGAAAACACGCAAGTCAAGAAAAGAAGATGAGCTGGGTCCTGAAGGCTAGACGAGGCAGTTGGAAGGGAGAGTTGCCATTGGAGACAGCGGGGAGTGTGGGTAGAAATGGGGCACAGTGGGACAAGCGGCTTGTTTTCTGGAAGCACATTGCTAGAGCAGCAGCTGAAGGGAAGACGTGAGCAAGACGGGGTTCTGAGGATGAAAAGGAGGCCCAGTTAGAAGCAGGGTTGCTCTGCCCAAGGAAGAGGGCTGTGCAGTCAGACTGCTCATTCATCTGCTTCCTGTGAAGCAGTCGTGATCATAATTCCTAGTAAATAAGCTATAATCAATGGATTGGCTGAGGATTTAATCCTTTTTCTAAAAAACAGTTTCTTAGAGAGTGTAGTTCTAGACTACAACAGTGATCTTCACATATTTAAATGTAGAGTGAACTTAATATACTTTAATCTCTAGGTGATAATTTAATGCTCTCTGAGCTTCCGAGTGCATTTTACTATTCGAGTCTAGGATTCCTGGAGGTGTGCAAGATCACTGCCTCTGGTGCTGCTTGATAATCCTCTAACACGGTGCTTGTGTGAACATGGTGCTTGTGTGAACACGGTGCTTGTGTGAACACGGTGCTTGTGTGAACACGGCACTTGTGTGAACACGGCGCTTGTGTGGTTGTCCTGCACACCTTGTGCTGCTCATCCAGAAAACCTTTCAAACAAATTCTGCAAGGAGATTGCAGCACACCATGCTCCTTGAAGGAACTAGTGTGTAAAATGGCAAAGGCTGCCATTTCGAAGCTCCAAGCTCCAAGGCTATGCTGCCACCACATAGGACAGATGTGAGACCAATTTCCTTTTTAAAAGAAACCAGCTCTATTGTCCAGAAGCAGCAATAACAGAGAAATTGCATTTACTTTTATCTACAACTTGCATACTGTATAAAGAGGCCTTCGGCCCTGGCATTGTGGGATTGTACCAACAAGAATGGTTCCTGGACTATAGGGTGACCATCTGCTGCTTTTGAAAGATGGGGTGACTCACAGAGGCTGCGAAGACAGTGAGCTTGAGCATGGTCAGCAAGGGCCCCTTACTCACCCTGCTTCTTTCGTATTCTTTCCTCGAGGCAGCAAAGAGCTGAGCATTAGATATGGCGATTCCACAGAAGGGAAGGTACATCTGCATAACCTGGGGGCACAGAAAGCATTAAGAATGTTAGAGCGTCCACCCCAATGCCCACAGCTCCTGCCTCTGCAGCACTTTCCTTTCAGTCAAATGAACCGGCATGGGGTTGGTAGGGCCACCCACTCTGCTTCAGGGGCACATTTTTCAGAGTTAGCTCTAAGGCGGTGTAAATCAGTCTTTAGCTGGGGAATTCACATCTCTGAAAACATAAAGTGGATGGAACAAAAGATCCCAAGAAGAACTAGGTCTTGCTGTAGGAATTCCAACCATCAGTAGCCTTTAAGATGCCAGCCTACTTGGGCATGGTCTCTTATACTGTAAATTCAGCTGTAAGGCACTCACTCTCTTGTTCCAGCTGCTAGACTCTGTTCCTCTTCCCTGTTCATGCAGAGGACTGTTATCTAGGACTGTGATCTGTAAGTCTCCCCTAAATAAATAACCCTCTATTATTCATAATTCTGAACTAGTGTGGGGTTATTTTATGACTTCTGCCTCCAAGGTCTGATATATCTTATGTTCCACCTTTGAAAAACAAGAAGAGAACTGGAATATGCCCCTGGAATTTAAAATTTGTATTCACATTCATACTTATAAAGGTAGGCAGAACATGAGCGAATCCCTGTGTACTGATATGCCTACAAAAGGAATCTTGGCAAGGCCTGCCAGCTACCAGACTTAATCGTGCCTATTAGCATGGGCCTAGTAGGAGTTTAGGGACTAAAGGCCTAGTACTCTTGTGTAAGAGATATCTGTGTGGATCCACTACCAGGTAGATAAGATTGGACAAGAACACAAACTGCGTGGCTCTGCAGCAACTGTCTGAGGAAATGCTCGGAGCCCCCGAGAGAAAACACCTCCTTTGGGAAGAACTGGAATACCCAGAAATGCCTGACTTAGGGAAAGTCTTTCTCGACAGGAGGTCAAAGTCTGAGGGCTATGCCTATCTCTAGAGCATCTGATTCCAGGCAGATAGATAGATGTTCTAGCAAAAAAGTCCTGAACTTTTCACAGCATAAGAGGAATAGGTGATTTTCTTTCTGGGGTTTGTCTAAAGCAAAGAGGAGATGGCATGGTTTGTGTCAATCTTTTTTTCTGTACACCACCCCCATCACTGTGCCCTGTGAAGAGGCACAGAGGCAGGCAGAGCAGTTCTGGCAGTGACCAGTAGGGGCAGTGCATTGCTCACTGTGGAGACCATGCCCACAGGAGCTCACGAGAGGCACCTGTGGGCCACCCAGGTGCCTGGAGCAAAGAGCGATTTGGGGAAGATAAAGGATAAAGCACAAATCCCATTCTTTATCATTTATTACCTTGCTTCTACCACCTAGCTACAGACCTCTGACCTGGGGGGAATTTCGAAGCTCTATGGCTTTGTTACAGCTATAACCTCATTCTTAAAGAAGCAAGAGAAATAATAGAAGGGGAACCAAGAAGCACAAAACCCAACACGCTTGTTTTTCCAATCTCTCAGGATAAATTCCATCAGCGAGTCTTTGAGTTGTATCCCAGAACAAATGCTGTTTCTGCTTCTCCTCTTTCTCATTTCTTGCTCCTCCTCCTCATGCTTTAATAAGTTTGCTTGTAAACCTCGTGGTTCACACAAAGCTTCCTGAGCCCTCCAGCACTCCCCGCCTTCTGCCAGAATGGGACCACATTCAACATCAGCTCTACACTGGGCAGGTTTCCTTGGAATTTCCTGTTGGGGGCGGGCATATTTTGTCTGTTTGTTTGTTCTTCCTGCTATGGAGGTGGTGGCTATTATGATGACAGAGAGGAGGATCTATGGGTCACTGTTGTGAGCGCACTGGGTCAGAAGCATAGGTCAACACGTTTGTGCTTTTCTTGAGTCAGAATTTATAGGCAAGTTGTTCCAGTGACTGCACCTGCAGAGCGTCCAACTTCCCTTGATGAGCCTGGATAGGGCAAGCACAGGCTTTTTATTCCAATCTTAATTACTAATATGAACTTTCAGACCATATATTACAGATTGCATGTGGGTGTGTGTGTGTATGTTACAGGATGACTACAAAAGATTCAAAAGGCAGGGGTTTTGAGGTGCTTTAAAGAACCCCCCTCTCCCAGAAGCCAAAACTGGGAAACTGATAATGATCTAAGAATCTTTGTATTGATAAGGAACTCTGTGGAAGAAGCCAGAAGCTGCTGTAGCTGCTGGCGGCAGAGTCAGAATTAAGCTGGGCTGATGAAATGACCGGAAATGACGGGCAGGACCAGGTCAGGCAGACTGACGTGTGGCCAGGCTAGGAAGCTGATCAAGAGGTCGGGCAGACCCCAGTTTGAGGGGGCCTTGTTGACTGAGTTAAGCTGAAGCTCTGGTGACAGCTGGGAGTTGTACCCAGATGACAGGGGACTGGGGGCACTTACCCTTGCAGTGATGGGGTCTACCTCTTTAAGAGGTGCAGGTGAGGGAGGTACACTTCTTCCTTGGTCTGCTATACCTGCTGAGTTCTTGGGCTTGGTTTTGCTGATACAATTTTAATATAACATGGATTCCCACATTCTCAATTCACCACAATGAACTTATAGGGTGGCTCTCTTTAACTCCAGAAATAAGTCACGTGACAGTCTCTGATTCATGGATGGTATCAGGCAGATGGTCCCATTCATATCTCCAACCAAATGCAGGGGCATCCTTCATCTTCAAGATGGTGTCAAAGACTGCTTATAAAATGGAGTCTCTCAGGCCAGACACTGTTTTGTACAATATAGACAAACTAAAAAGCCAGTCTTATGTAGTATGGTGTGATGTGTAAGTCACAACCTGACCTCAACAATTATGTATCCAATTCTCCATCACTTATTTTGATTATGTTTGGTGTGTAAGTCTAGCAAACAGGAAGCAGAAGCAGTCTGATGAATTTATGAACTATTCTCTAAAGCCTTTCTTCACTTGGTTTGTGATATCAATTATTGAACTTTTTCTACCAGGCTTTATGTGTAATTAAAACATCTGGAATTTAAAATTTTTTACATTAATTATATTTTACATGTATGAGTGTTTGCCTATCGGTATGTCGATATATCACGTGCAATCTTAATGCCCAGGGAGGTCAAAAGAAAGGTGTCAGATCCCTGTAGTTATAGGTGGTTGTGAGTCATCATATAGGTGCTGGAAATTGAACCCTGGGCCCCCCCCCGGAAGAGCATCCATCGCTCTGCACTGCTGAGCCATCTCTCCGGCCCCTAAGAGAATCTGAGTTTTAAGTCACGGCGTTTTTATCCTTTTTGTGGATTTTCTGTATGAAACTTAACAAGCCACTTAAGTGCTGTAAATCTACTTCCTTATCTGTAAGACACCAAGTTTATGGTAGCTTCTAGTGTTTTGCGGCTCAAATGATTAGAAATATCAGTGAGCCGTAATGTTATGCTTGCTGGAAGTGACACAGAATTCAATGAACACGCTTGTACCTTACTCAGGAAATGTCATTGGTAGTGGAAATTGACAGAGATGCAGCCCTTTCATCAGGGAAGCAGGCATGATGCAGGGTGGTAGGCACGGTGTGCAGGCTTCTCTAAGAACGGCATCTCTTTGACCTTCGCAAGGATGCACTCAACAGTGGCACTTTTTAAAAAGAGCTAAGGTTTGGGAGCTCCCAGCAGGCTATTGGGAGATAATTCTTCCCGGGTCTCTCCTCCTCCCCGCCCCACCCCCTCTCCCGTCAGCACATTTTCCAGAAGCACCGTTCGGTCAAGGATGCTTTGGCAATGAAAGCCCTTCGAAGGTAGAGACACTGTCTCCTCCCTAATAAAAAGCAGAATTATTTGCTATCCAATATAATAAAGATGATTTCTCCCCCTGGACAGAGGTCGATTTGGGGAGCCTCCTGCAATGTGATATGTCCCGAGTGCAGTTATAGTGTGAGGAACCAGCACAAACGCTGGATCTCGGCTTCTTTCTCTTCCTGTGAGTAATAAACGATTCTCTTCCACTGATCCAGGAGTCTTGCATACCTTGCAGGACCCATGAGACTGTGGCTCACTGACTTGCTAACTTGCAGGTGGACTAGAGTCAGACTTTTTAATGATCACCAAGGTCACCCAGACGGTAGATGGTGGGGCTAAATTTCATTTTTAATTCAGTCACCTTGACCCTGGAAAATCTGCCCTCTTCTCTTCTACAGGGTCTTGCCTCTCAAAGAAATATGCATCTTTCCCATCACGAGTGCATGGCCTGGTTAACTGCAGTATGACTGACGGGTGCTGATAGTAGAAGGGGATTGGATGTTTAAGTGTCAAGAGGGGCTGCAGAAGCGCAGGAGGTTCTGGTAGAGGAGAAGAAAGCGAATTCTAGTGATAACCAGCCCTCAGGTGATCTGCTGAGCTGATAGATTAAAGCCAATCCCAACCAAGGAATAAATCACATCGGTCAGCATAAGACTGGCTAAAGAGGCCAGGATGGAATCCTATGAAGATAAAGAACCCAGCTTTGTAAGAGCTGACCAGCAGGCCCAGGGTCAACCTCAGGTGATGGTTTAAAGGTTAGCTCACACTTCTCTGGATAGAGGAAGAGGAACTGGGAAAGCAATGAGGGGGCCGCTGGCGAAGCCCTAAGGGGGAGGCACAATGTTGCAGGGGCACAGCACTGGTTGTAAGTCGGGAGCCTGTCAAAACCGAGCCGGTGGGTGAGGAGCCTGTGGTGTAGAAAGTGGGTTGGGCACTGGGAACAAGACTACTTTGTCTCTTCTCCCAGTGCCAGAAAGCTTGAGGACCACCCAAGGGCACATGGCCAATTAGTGGCCAATCTCTCCGTTCACTTCTGTTGCTGTTGAGCCTAATCAACCAAAAATATTAAATTTTCAAGGAATTCTTCCATTTACTGTAAGGTGTGTGTGTGTTTGTGTGTGTGTGTGTGTGTGTGTGTGTGTTGTGTACTCTACTTTCCATAAAACACGTAGATCACTTTGGCAGGATGAGTTCTTCAATCCGTGCCACCGTGTTTTAGAAAGTCCCTCCCAATCTAGTTCTGGCAGATGAATGACATTATC